CCCTGCAGGCCCGGCGCGGCCCACCGCTCCGGGTTCCAGCGGCGGCAGCTCGTCCGCACCTCCCCTGCCTTCGCCTGGACGTTCGGGGCCCCTGCCTCCCCCGCCCAGTGAGAGACCCCCGCCCCCAGTGAGGGACCCGCCGGGCCGATCAGGTATGGCGAGGCGTGGGGTGGGTGGTCTCCCCGAAACCCAGCCTGCACACCTCACTCCTGGTCTCCCCGAAACCCAGCCTGCACACGTCACTCCTGATAGGGGCTGAACGGAGTCCAGCTGAAGGCCTGATTGCATCTTGGCCGCGTGCAAACCCGAGGGAAGCGGGGCTGATAGCTGTTCTCTGTCCGTGTTTTAGAGATGAGGAGACTGTGGAAGCAAGAAAGTGAGAGGATCACAAACTAGTTAATACCGAAGAGGCTAGAACTCTTCTTTCATCTCACCACTCTGCAACCGGCCTCCCTGAAGTGGTTTCAGGTGTCCTAATTGGGGAGCTACTTTCCCGTCTCCTGCAGGAGGGCCCGTTATTCCAACAAGAAGGGCAGTTATTTAAGAGGGAATGAACTCCTGCACTTCTCTCTTTTTAGCTGTCAAACTTTCCGGCCGCTTCCCTGCACAGTAAAGACAAATGTTAGAGCCCGTTTGGCTCTTGGCTCACATCTCCGGCGCACAGAGCACTGGGAGAATCAGATAGAGGCATAAGCCTTCGCTTGACAGAAATGCTCATAAGCACAAACTCGAGCTACGCACGGTAGTTCATGGGCTGGAGGACCTGCTGGAGCACACCTGTGGCCCCTGCCTAGGGCTGAGAAACCTGAGTCTGAGGGAGTCGCTTTCAGAGTATGAAATGACGTGTGAGGATTACCAGCATCATACTCTCTCTGCTAATTATAATAGGTGCTTTTTTGTTTTGCATCAGTTATTGATGGAATCAGGGGAACTATCTACTTTTAAAATTTAACCTTACACAGGGAAGATGTTTGGAAATGGGGCATTTTTTTTCTCTCCGCAAAGTTAACGGACCTTTGACCTTGTGACCTCGGGAACCTAATAAACACCATTTTTTAAACCAGTGGCCCCAAACTTGACCATATACTGCAATCACCTGGGGAGCTTTAAAAAGCATGATGCCTGGGCCCCTTCCCCGGGGCTTCTGGTTTTGTTGGTCTGGGTTGCAGACGGGGCATCAGGATACTGGGATTGCAATGTCCCAGTGACTGTAATGTGCAGGAAAGTTTGAAAACCACTCCTTCAAACCGCCCTGCCACGGAGAGTCCACTCCAAACATACAAAGTCACTAATCCGTTCAATCCAGTCCCTAGACATTGTGGCATCTCATTAAGTAGTCTGCAGTGAATTAACAAGAACAGGTAGTCAGATGAATGAAACACAGTGTCTTCTTTTTATCCAAAAGCTATGGATTTCCCCCCAAAGTGGTTGAGAAGCTGATTGCATGGCTCTACCAAATAAATGAATCAACAGATTAAATCTCCCCCAAAATAGGGCAGTCACATATAATTGTAACATTTATTGTTCCTTTCAATTACATAAGTCAGACCTGTTTATTATAGAAAATTAAAATCATCTATAATCCTACCACCACCACCATCTAAAAATAATCATAGCAGTTTTTAAAAATTCTTTCAGCCTTTTAAAATATATATATACATGTTTATAAAATTAGTATCATACTACGTATATTGTTTAGTATTAATTTGCTTTTTATTTAACAATATTTCATTAACATTTCCTGATATGATACAATCTGACTTTTAATGACTGCATAATATTAAATCCTACAAAATACCTTGATTATTTAATCCCTCACTTGGTCATATAGCCATCTCCAGATTTTTGCTGTTGCAGATAATGCAGGAATATATTCTTGTAACCAAATATTTGTGCACATCTCTATGTATTTCCTTGGAATGAATTTCTAGAAATGGAATGTCTAGGACTCCGTGGTTGGCAAACTGCGGCTCGAGAGCTACATGTGGCTCTTTGGCCCCTTGAGTGTGGCTCTTCCACAGAATACCACGTGCGGGCGCGCACGTACAGTGCAATTGAAACTTGGTGGTCCATGCGCAGAAGTCGGTATTTTGTGGAAGAGCCACACTCAAGGGGCCAACGAGCCGCATGTGGCTCGAGAGCCGCAGTTTGCCGACCACTGGCTCTAGGTCAATGGGTGTGCACAGTAAACTATGGATTTCATAGGTACTGCCAAATTGGCCTCTAGGCCACATACATCCCCACAAGGAACATATGCAAGATCATCAAGGGCCACCTGGATTTTGAGAGGTGGCTTAGCTTCCTTGTTAGGAGAATAGGCTTTCGAATTTGACGGATTTGTAGTCAAATCCTGGTTCTTCTCATTAGCCTCCTGACTTGGTCTTTTTAACTTTCAACACCTCATCTGCTGTCTCTGCCTTTCAGGGCTGTTATAAAATTCAAATGAGATTAAGTGAATATAGTGGTTATTTCCCAACATAAATGACCATTTTTGTTATTATGCTGCCAATGGGAATAGAAATGTTTCCTATTATGCTTGCCTGGGGTGAGAGACCGACCAGGGCAGGGCTTGCCTCCTGCCTTCATCAAGTGTCTGAGCCAAGACTTCAGGCAGGGATGTCTGCGATGGACGAGTCGTTCCTTTGTAGGTCCTCTGACCGGATTCTGAATATGCAGTTAATAAGAGATACTTATATTTATAGCACTAAGATGTGTTTTACATAAAACGTCAGCATCGGACAAGTGGAGCACACTGCTGAAGATCAGGAGTTACTAAGGTCATTTTGGTTTACAGGAAATGCTTAAGTTCTTCTTTTTGTTAATTTTACTCACGACCCAAACAGCCTCTGCACTTGGAGGATGGAAGAGGCAAGATAGGTTCCTTTTTATTATCAAAAAGAATTTTCTGTGTTATTTTTCTAGGAACTTAAAGTTTTCTAATTCTACCATACCACTGCATTTTTAAAAAATAGTTTCAAATACTTTTGTAGTGCTTTTTATTTGTTTTTTGACTAAGTATTCCTGGCAACAGCACTGTGGGAAAGGTAACTATTTGGTGCTCTTTGTAAATAGGAAATCAAGCTCCGTAGGCAAGCAGCCTGCTCAGGGTCAGGGTCCTGCACCAGCATTTCTAGCCATGCACACTGATGAGCTGTTTGTCAGTCCCTGAGTTAATCGCCCCCCGAAAGAGGAAGAACCAAGAAGGAACTTCTATTCTCAGGATGACTAACATTGGGTTTCCTGACCCACTTCTGTCTGGAAAGAGATTGTGTGCCCGTGGAATTAGCAATAATACTGTGCATTAAAGAACTTAACCCATCTGAAGATCTAAAATAACTTCATAGCTATCTTATTCTTCATTTAAAATCCTCTTTTAATACAGCATTTATTTAATAAGTATCATGTTGCAGTAATTAGTTCAAGGGCTACTTAAAATATTAAAATGTGTTTTAAGTATGTATATAATCGTCTGTATAAACAGATTATCACCTGTTGTCAACTGTATCATCTCCAATCTCAATACTCACAGCCAAAACAGCCATAGCTGTCAATATGCACTCATTCCACATCTGTGTATACATATGTGCATTTCTGAGTTTATATGTGCCTACTCCTTGCTTGGCTAAATCTCCTAGGAAGTGTCCACCATTCCTCCATGTTCTCTAGTAAAGGGCCTGTATCCATCAGGCACACAATAACTGCACCTTGGTGATGGAGAATGTAAGGTATGGCCCTAAATGTTGGTTTTTCTTTTACTCCAGGCCCTCTCCCACCTCCTCCTCCAATAAACAGAAATGGCAGCACATCTCGGGCCCTGCCTGCCACCCCGCAGTTGCCGTCCAGAGGAGTAGACAGTCCCAGGAGTGGGCCCCGGCCCCCCCCTCCTCCAGACAGGCCTGGTGCTGGGGTTCCTCCCCCACCTCCACCATCAACATCAATTAGAAACGGCTTCCAAGACTCTTCATGTGAAGGTGAGGTGTGGTCCCAGCTTCTTGGAATCCTACAAGCTGTAGAGCAGCAGCTGAATGGGAGATTTGTATTTGGGTGTGTGTTTGCATTAATATTTCTTGTTTGCATGACCCTCATTGTCATCACGCTACACTGCTCTAACCCAGCGATTTTCAACCTTTTTCATCCCATGACACACATAAACTAATTACTAAAATTCTGAGGCACAGCAAAAAACGTCTTTTTTGCCAATCTGACAAGAAAAATAGGTTTAATTGTGATTCATTCACACTCGATGACTATTATTGTGTTGGCTGTTGTCATTTTTTAATTTGACAATCTAAGGGAAAAGAGGTCAGTGCCCCTGACTAAATAGTCAGGTATTGCATGTTTTAAAAATTCTTGTGGCACAGCAGTTGAAAATCACTATTCTAACCATTTTAGGGCCCACCATGATTTCAAATCAAAAATAGTGATCCCTCTCCACTTTCCGAAAAGTCAGGTCATTTTCGCTCTTCCTTGTTTGAGTCATATTTAACTTTCCAGCGATACCAGAATTCTGAAAAGAACCATTTGTAAATTAGCTTTTTACCTCCCTTTCTAAACAGTTTGCTGTAGGGAAGAGGCCCAATGACCTGAGGTATAAGCAGCTTCCCTCTTCCTCTGTTCAGAGGGTCCCAGGCATTCCTCCCACTGGTGGGAGGACTTGTTAAGAGAGGTGTCCCAAGCCTTGGCCCCCAGCTCCTGAGCATCGCTCTACTTAAAATCCCTTGGATCTCGCTTTGGTTTGATTGGCAGACCCATATATTTTATTCATGTGCGATGTCAGTGACATTTCTAGTACTTCCAGCTTTTCTCTAAACTTCTGGACGTAAGACTAGAAGCAATCTCTTCAGTTCTATTTCATCCTGTGCTTTACATGACATGTTTTCAGGGCAGATTGCCTGTTCTGAAGGCACTGTTTGTTTCTCTCCCTCAGATGAGTGGGAAAGCAGATTCAACTTCCATCCGATTTCTGACTTGCCACCTCCAGAGCCATATGTGCCAACAACCAAAAGTTATCCCAGTAAATTGGCAAGAAGTGAAAGCCGGAGTGAGTATTTCTGCAAGGGCTTTTGGTGGCTTCCTACTCTAATTGAGAAAACTCTGGTTTATATACAATTGCGGGGTGCATAGAAAATCCAGGCCTATTGCCTGGAGTGGGAGACTTCAGAGAAATCACTTCCGGGTTTGATGCCGTCTAAATTCTGGTAAACTCCCCTTCTGCACATGATGGGAAAATGGAGATAATCCAGAATGCATATGAGAAACAATTATTTTAATGTGTCATCACAAGCCCCAAACACTGTTGGGTTGCTAGTAGATCAAATTGTATTATTTTGCTTGTTTAGACAATTGCCCCTCATTTTGATCTTCCTAAGATGGCACAAATAGAACCATCTTCTTTCTATTCCTATTAGTTTTGATACAAGCAAAATGTCTTAATTATAACAAAAACTTACTGAAATGGCCTTGATCTTTTTAAATATATTATAATTATAGCTTTATAGAGTATTACATGAAAAATTTAAGTGTACCCATAATCTCTCCACATATTTTCATTTACCAGGTTCTCATCAATTTTTATCCATCTAATAATTCTGATTAATTTATATGGTTGTAGTTAGAGAGTGAAGTTTTTGGTAGTGGGGTAGACACTTCCCTATTTTATCACATGGTTTTTATGATACAAGTTTCCATCAAGTCCGCATATAATAATTTAGTTTACCATTATTGGATACTTAGGTTGCTTCTGTTTTGTTTGGGGTTTTTTTTGCTAATATATGTAATACTACCATAAGAAGTGACTCACTTTTCCACTATTGGGGGGAAATGTGAACAAGAAGAGGAAACAGAAAACTAAAATTTTACAACAAATGTATAGAACTGAAAAAGAATTAGCGTAAAATATACATATATCACTGATGAGACTCAGACCTGTGACAGGCTTAGCTTCAGAACCAAACTCCCAAAGCAGAAATGTGTGGAGAAAAAGTATCTGAACATGTCAGATAACAGTCACAATGTCCCTAAAATGTTCACACACACACACACACCCCTTGCCCTCACTCCCTGGCTGAGCTCCTTACACATACTCAGAGCCTGCTGACTCTTAGCACAGAGTTCTTAATATTTAGTTGATTCCCAGCCTTAGAGCAGATTAGTATCAACTGAAGTTAAGGTTGGTTAGAAGCAAAATCACTGACTTCAGGGAGAAGTGATAGGTGGCAAAGGAGGAGATAGGGACACAGAATTGTGCTATATATTAGAGCACAGGACAACACTAGATGTCTCTGTTGGATTATCAAAGATAGGTCAAATTGTGCTTTGTGCCTGTGCTAAAGAATTCAAAGAATTAGAAAATATTTTAGGAAAATTTTCATGAACAAATAGAAGTAAACAGAATATTGCTGCTTAAAAGGAGAAGTTTAATTCCTGGGGAAAATCATTTATGTGGAATACTGCATTCCTAGATGATGCCTAGTAAAAGAGGTGTAGTTATAATAAAAATTATCATACAAGAGTTGGTGGTTGAAATTTTGGTTAAAAATTGATTCTTCACATGGGACAAATTTCTTTGAGCTCTGCGTGTTTATATATGCATGTTTGTAGTGTGTGTGTGCAGTGTGTGTGTTTATGTTGTAAGAGGGGCTTCTATCTGGTAAGAGTAGAGCCTGCTTTTCTTCCCTCTTGGGCACTAATAAATGAATTCACTTTAAGGAGTTGTTCACATAGACTCTAAATATGTTAATACACACACATACAGGTGGGCAAAAGTAGGTTACTATGGTAAAAGACATGTAGGTTATGGTTATTAGAATTGCTTTAGTAAATCAAAAGAATGTCTCAGTGGCACAGTGCACTTACTTTGCCTACGTGTGTGTGTGTGTGTGTGTGTGTGTGTGTGTGTTTTAACTTACCTTTATGTTGAAAGTATTACAGATTACATATATTAAGTCAGTTACAGAACCATCTTCCCCAGCCCCTCTAGATTTTTTATTTAATAGCTGATCACATTCCCTTCCCCATCCTCCTGTCTTTAAGACTTTATGAAATTTGAAGATGGGAACTATGTCCTGCTCACTGTTGTATCTTCCTGGAGTGGCACAGAGCCTGAAACATTGTAGACACTTAAAAATATTTCTTAAATTGGTGGATTAATTTCCACTGCTCCCCCAAACCTCTTTTTGTAGATTTACTTTAAATTTCTAGCATTGTGCATTTTAATATTTTTATACTGATAAAGAATCATCTCTCTAAAAAACACATAAAGTACTATCAAATGGTTTTATTCTGCTCCTGCTACCTTGGCCTCCAGGCCCACAGCCTGGGAGGGCACCCAGACGGCCCTGAGCAGTGCCACCTAGTTCAAGCTCTGCACAAGGCCAGCCCTTGTTTTGCTAACCCTGTGGTATAGCAGTTGACAGTCAAGGCCCCATGACAGATGGCTGGTGTGAAACCAGATGTCCTTCCTCAGATGCCTGCCCAAGAAAAGACTTGGTTGGGATAGTAAGAGGAACAAGCAAGACAGTGGGATGCCACTGTTTTCCTCTGACTCCTGTCCTTGCTCAGAGACTTGGTTCTATCACAGAAATCCCTAACAGGGCTACTAGGATCATTGTTGAGATGCCTGCTGAGGAATCTGCTGGTGCCAGCTCACCTGAGTCTCAGAGCAGTGGCCTCAGCAGGCACACTCAATTGCCATGTGCCCCTGGTAGACATGCTTAAGCATCTGAGCACCTGGCCCTATGCCTAACAACAGTAAGATCCTTAGACAAATGTGTGTGGGACAAATGAACTTCAAATATTGTAAATGGCTGAAACCTGGATAGCTTACAAATATGCATAGAATGCAGTGTATCAATAATTACATGTGTAAAGAGTAATGACTTTGAAAGATGTTCAAAATGACTATATATGACCTAATTTTTGGAAGACAAAAAGGAACTGTTCATATATAGAAAATATATAAATAATGTTGTTATCTCTGGGTGGTGCAAACATGGGTGAATCTTTTTGCTTTGTTTTTACTTATCTATTTTTTCTAAACCTATAATAAATGCATACTACGTTTGTGATAAGAAGCAATTTTTTAAATTTTCTTAACTTTATGCAAGTACTCGGTAGCCAGTGGTGGGTCATCCTTAGTAATGTTTGTTCAGATCCTTACTTGCTTCTTCCCATCCCCTCTCACTTCTCATCCACCTGTGCCAGTTATTTCCATCCCTGGTTAGGGTGTATGGTTGTGAATACCTTTGCACACATCCTTGAATTTCTACAGTGAGAACATAAGCTTTCTAACCAAAATTTATATTTTGTCTGTTTTTTCATCAAGGTGGATCCAACCGAAGAGAAAGGGGTGCCCCACCCCTTCCTCCCATCCCAAGGTGATCCTAGCCTGCTCTTCTCCACCCGAGTCCAAGAGCTACTTCTGTTGTTGCTATCAAGAGTTGCACACCCTCCTCCCCTTGTCTTCCTTGTCCCTTTCATACTGGGAGTAGGGAAGAAGGGAGGGTGATGTGGGGATATGTGTGTGGGGGGTGGGAATCCAATGAATGCACCTAGATTTTTATTCTGTGTATATCCTCAAAGCTATTGCTTGCTTCAGCTACAGCCCACCAGTGCTGACTGCTTGGGTTCAACTAGCTTTTATGGCAAGTAGGCAGAGATGAACTGTGTCCCAGCTTTCAACCAACCAGATTCAAACATTCACTGCATGTTTGCTACAGATAACGTTAAAGTCCCTGAGAGCTGCTTGCTTCCATGCCATTTTTGCGTGCTTGGCCTCCTGTCTGTTTCCATGAACCACAGACCACCTACACAAGTTGCTGAGCAAGGGTGCACATGACATTTTTGCAGTTATAGATTATGATCTTTGGCAGCCTGAGGTAGGCTCTAGGACAGACTGTCCAATAGAAATATAGTGTGAGCCACATATACAATTTAAATATTTCCAGTAGCCACAATAAAAAAAGGAAAAGAAATAGGTGAAATTAATTTTAATATATTTTTATCCAAAATATCATTTTTACCTGCAATTAAAATAACAATTATTAATGAGATATTTTACATTATTTTTTTGTACTAATGCTTCAAAATCTGGTTTTGTGTTTTACACTTAAAGCACATCCCTATCTGGACTAGTCACAGTTCAAGGACTCTGACCACATATGGCAGTGGCTACCATATTGGACAATGCAGGTCTAAAAGACAGAGGCTAGCACAAATACCTCCTGTTTAAAAAAAAAATGCACAATGATGTTTAGCAATTCAAGAGGTCACTAAAAATAAGGTTAGGACCCAACACCTTGCCTGGCAGACAGCTTGACCTTAGATTGTGCTCCCTTATTTTCCTTCTTCCCTTAGTATCTGTGTACAAGTGTTGCTTCACAGTCCCAAGGTCAGAAATTACTCTAATAGGGTTTACAGTTACGTGGAATAAAGCCATTGCAAGGAAACTGAAATCCTGTTGGGCTTCTGGGCTCAGAACCAGCTGGCTGGAGATCACCTGTCAGCTGGACTTCTGCCTTGCCCATTGGAAGAGGCCGCCCAGCTTGCTCCTCAGGCCGGGAGGTTTGTAGGCTTAGTAGTGGGGGCGGGGAGGGGGTAGTCAGGGAAAGGTAGCAAATCAGAAACTCAGAAGAAGGGATCAGATTTGGGTGGATGAGCAAACTCTAAAAATCTAAATCTGATGCTTATGGGGTTGAGAGAAAGAGATTGCTACTGGAAATGAGAGGGAATTTGCTTTGAAACTATCCAAATGCAGCTATGCAAATACAGCTCCCGAAGGGACCTTAGGGAAGAGCCAGCCTTGCCTTTTTTTGTATGATTTTGTTTACAGACTTTACTGGGATTTTTAATCTAGCTACAGAGTTAGGGAAAAAATGTCCATTTAGTTATTTTATAACAGTTGATTATGTTTGAAATTACCATTACTTGTTTTTCAAAAGCACATGGTCACAAATGTATATGTATATCTACCTAAAGTTTGTATCATGGTTTCAGTGTATTGTTCATCTGTGACTGAGAGATGCTAACAAGAAATCAATCCAAAGAAAATTTTGAAAGAAGCATTCCTATTTATAGAAGAAATAACTGTTTCATTTATATAAAAGCAAAAGAACTTAGAGTTCTATTAAATGGGATGTCTAAGTAATTATGATGTTGCCCATTTGAATATACTGTATTTTTATAACTTTTCTTGCCAAAGTCCTGGGCTTAGTACATTAGAGAACTTGGGTCCCTCCCTCCTCTACCTTTCATTTGTCTTTCAGGCACTTGGGGTCCTTTACCCAAAGAATCAAGAAATATAAAGGTATAACAAGCTTGGCAAAGTATTTCCTCCCCCCAAAAATGGTATTGCTCATATTTTGGTAATATAGCAGCATCGTTTTATTTGGGATTCTTTGATCAGGTATCATTCTTGAATCTATAGTTGATTAAAACTCCTATGAGAAAGCCTAATGACCCACTTCAGAAAAGAGGCCTTGCTAGCAAATATGGCAGAGGAAAGTGTGACCCAAAGAAAGGGGGTCTAGATTTTGTACAGGGAAGTACGAATAGCCAATTTCCTTGTATATCTCAACTTTGCAGGTACCATCCTAAAGTCTGAAACAGGGTCACAACTCAAAGTTACTATTCACCCAGGAGGGAGATGTTTTAGAATGTGTTTTTTTAAGTGAATGTTTCATGAATACACTTACATTCTTGCTTTGAAAGTTAGCAACCTAATTGCATCCAAAACTTTGAATAAGTTCTATGCTAAAATTTTCAACTATGGTAAATCACAAAAATGAATAATTTTCTTCCCTGAAATCAGAGCTTACATGTGTTTTTCCATAAAATTTCCAGGTAATGTATTCAAGATGCAATACAGTATTTTAACATTCACATATCATTTTATATTGAAATGTATTACAGTATTAAAATTCAGTGTTCGGTATTTATTTCACTATGCATTTTATTTAGTAAAAGCCTAGAAAGTGTTTAATCCAATGGTGCCTTACTTTGTGATTGGAAAAAAATCAACTTTTTATGTCTAAGTAGCGGGTTATTTGCATATTTGTAACAAACAGTTAGGCCTTTATATTTTAACTTGTAATACCAATTGTGTTATCTTAGTAACAGATATGGGATGGGATAATTGTTAAAGTGCCCCAAATTTTTGGTATGAAATTAATTTTCCCCTGTTTATAGTCAGGGACTGTAAAGAAAGAAAAAAACATTTTTCATACCACTGCACTATGTAAACAAACACATTTTGGTATCTAAGTCATGGGGATAGTTTAAATGGGACAGAGTCTATCCAAGACATCTGTGTCTTTGTAAGTTAGCCATCAAATAAATAAAAGCAGAATGATATGAGTGTCAACTGGTGGTTTTTATTTAAGTATTGTCTATGTAAATGTAAACAAAAAAGCAAGTGTCTGTTTTCTGTTTTATACTCTGGTAAAGAAAGACATTCTCAAAAAAAAGAAGAAGAAGAAGAAGAAAAGGTCTCTATAAGTAAGTAAATATTCATCGAATCCACTTTCTAATACCTTGTTTTTCCTGAGAACCTGTCTCTTCATCAAAATCTTTTGTCTTTATTTGAGGCAGATGCTTCTACTCTGTGGTAAAGTGGATGGTAGAAGCAATGGAAGATGAAATTACAAAGACTAGCATTGACATTGATAAACATAGGAAAGGCCTTCCCTCAGAAGACAGGACCAGATTTGGGTGGATGGCCAAAACTCTAAAATTCTAAATCTGATGCTTATGGGGTTGAGAGAAAGAGACTGCTACTGGAAATCAGAGGGAATTTGTTTTGAAACTATCCAAATGCAGCTATACAAATACAGCTCCTGAAAGAACCTTAGGGAATAGCCAGTCTTGCCTTTTTTTGTGTGATTTTAAATTAACAGCTGTGTATGTAGGTGTGCCTGTGTACGTATCTCAGTATAGTATAATAGTTAAGAGATTAGGAAGACCTGGCTCCATCTCCTACTTAACTTCTCTAAGCCTGTTTCCTTATGTAGAAAGTAAGCTATCTTACAGCATTAATAAGTGCACTAAATGATAACGCACTCACCCTGACTTCTCTAAGTGCTCAATAAGTGGTAGCCACTATTAGTATGAACTGAAAACAAATATTTATATAATGATCTCAAACTAACTAGAACCAAATTGACTAGAAGGGGATTTACTAGTGTAGTTTCAAAGGAAAGCAGTAAGAGCAGAAAAATCATCCCTATCAGAAATGCAAACAACCTCCAGACGAAAGTCACCTCAGGTGCTGTCAGCCCCTTACACTGCACAGGCTGGGAAACGAAAATTCATGTTACTTCAGTTCTCAAAGGAATTAGTAGATTCGATTGGAAATCATAGAAATTGAGACCTGGAAAGAGCCTTATATCAGGACAGGCTTGGAATTTATGACCCGGAGTGGAACACTTTAACGTGGAAAGGATGCTAATAATCGTTGCTTTGGCACCACAGATATAAGCCAGGGCTGCCCTGGCAAATGGGGCCATGTGGTCACCCCGTTCAGAGGTCATCTAGTCCAACTCTGTGGCCTTACAGTTGGGTAAATTAAGGTCCCAAATCACATACTAATAGGCAAGCAGTATGGCCCTTCATCATAACACACTCAGTTCTTTATAATCCTTCCTATCACTTGCTAAAGTCTGTTTCACGTGTCTTTCACATTTACTGGAAAGGACAAATGATAAGTTACAGAGTCAGAATGAGTCGTGGGCACATGAACCTGGATCTGAATCCCGGCTCTGCCACTTGCTCCCTGAAAGGCCACGGAAAGGTATTTAAGCCCCCTGAACTCTAGCCCCCTCAACTGCAAAATGGTTACAAAGCTTAAATAAATGTACAAAATATCTGGCACATGTCAGGCACTCAGTGAAAGTTAGTTCCACTCCATTTCCTAATCCTTTTGCCATCGAACCTAGGCCATATTCAGTAAAAAATTTTCATTGCATTCAAAGGAGTCTGATAAAATGTAATTACAGAATTCTTAGAATTATTAGGGAAACAAGTCTGGATATTATTAGACAATGAGCTGAAATTTGGCTTAAATCTTCACTAGGACGATGCCTGCCAGGACACCTGGAATATCCATCATGGACTTCACAAAAATGTGTTTTAGTTATGAGGAACTCCCACTTTTTTCCTGTTTGCTGTCTTCTTAGCAAGTTAGTAAGTTAAAGGTCACCTGTAAGAATGCTATCTATTTCCGATAGGTCCCTGAAACAAACAGCAGCAGATAATTGGGAAACCTTAATTCTATGGAGCTACTGTATTCCGAGATTCATTTTTACATTTATTCATTCAAATCATCAACAAACACTGACTTAGATTTAAGCAAAGATACACATTCTACAACAGGAAAGTACTAGTCCTAGAACCAAGGGTGTATATTTAAATTCTAGATCCAATGAGAACTTCAGCCAGTAGACACAACCCCACCCTATCACTGATTCTGGAATGTTCCTAACAACTGACACAGGGCTCTTGGGTTGGCTATGTGCATGAAAGGGAAATAGCCTTGGTCTTAACGCTTGGAACAAAGGCATGGATAGATCCCAAATGAGGCCACCATGGAATAAATGGGAAAACATCAAACACAGTAATGAAAACACAATTTTATACCACTGACACTCTATCTAATTTACTTATCTAGAAGACAACACTTCCATATTGTCCTTATTCTTCATCTGGCCACCACCAATTATTGATTATCTACAATGTACGACAAACTGTGCTAAGATCTTTGCAAATATCAATGCCTGTGTTACTGTTGATCTTTGTGACTTTACACATGGAGAAATTAAAGCCTGAGTGGATTAGAAATCCTCAAGCCACTTGCCTTGAATAGATCCAGAATTCAAACTCAAGGTTGAGTAAATAAATTTGAATGGTGAGTCGTAATATCATTGTCAACTTTTCATATCCAGCTTAAAAACATACTGACACTTTATAAAAGCAAGGACATTTTAGTAAGGCAAAACAAGGAAAAGACCTAATCTTAGAATGAAACACAGTAGACTCCATTGAACAAATACAGCTTCACAGAAAACTCACTGTGCATTGTCCTTATTTTCCTCATTGAGCTATGGACTGGCTCTAGTCCTGCACCTGCGTTTACCACCCGGGACACATTGCCTCTTGTAAGTGATTGAACGTCTTTTAGTTCTTTGGTTCTTCACATCTTGAGGGATGGTCGTAATTTCTACCTTGAGGTTTTTAAAGCAATGTTATATACCTGCACTTCTCAGCTCATCTTATCAGATACACGCTATCTTTTAAGTGATCTCGAGGGAGCCAGTGAAATTCAGACATCATTCCTAGAAGTGGTATTACTGGGTCCAATGGCAGTTCCATTTTTAAATTTTTGAGGAAACGCCATACTGTTTTCCACAGTGGCTGCACCAGCCTGCATTCCCACCAGCAGTGAAGAAGGGTTCCTTTTTCTCCACATCCTCTCCAGCACTTGTCATTTGTTGATTTGTTGATGATAGCCATTCTGACAGGTATGAGGTGGTACCTCATTGTTGTTTTGATTTGCATCTCTTGGATGATTAGTGACTTTGAGCATGTTTTCATGTGTCTCTTGGCTTTCTGCATGTCCTCTTTCAAAAAGTGTCTATTTAGGTCCTTTGCCCAAAACAGAAACACCAATAAGAAAGGATATATGCACCCCTATGTTCATAGCAGCACAATTTACAATAGCTAAGATTTGGAAACAGCATAAATGCCAATCAGCAGATGAGTGGATTAGAAAACTGTGGTACATCTACACAATGGAATACTACGCTGCTATAAAAAAGAAGGAATTCTTACCATTTGCAGCAGCATGGATAGAACTGGAGAGCATTATGCTAAGTGAAATAAGCCAGGCAGTGAAAGAAAAATACCACATGATCTCACTCATTTATGGCTAATAAAGAACATTATAACCTTATGAACAAAAAGATAGATACAGAGGTGGAGAAGCATCGAACAGACTGTCAAATTACAACGGGAAGGCTGGGGAGTGTTGGGGGGGGGGTAAGAGATCAATCGAAGGACTTATATGCATGCATATAAGCATAACCAATGGACACAAGACACTGGGGGGGGGGGCGCGGTAAGGGCATGTGCTGGGGGGTAGGGGAGGCCGGGGGAAGATCAATGGGGAAAAAAGGAGACATATGTACTACTATTTGTAATACTTTAAACAAGAAAATAAAATTTAAAAAAATCAGACATCATTTCATTAAACACTTGCAGACTTCTGAAAGTTCCCATCTCAGAATCAAACTGCAATGGGAATAGTTAATTTGCTCCCCTGTGTATCTCCCTTCATTATCTATCGGTTACTTCTTCCATTTATATTATAAATTTTTCATATTATTTAATTTATTGATTACTCTTCTTGAAGTTGGAGAAGTCATGTGGCTCTTTTAAATTCCAAATAATAGGATTTGCTTTTCCATAACAGCCAGAAATAAAGTCTGTGTTCTTTGCCTCAGACAACCTAGCACTCATTCACAGGAGAAATTGGGTTAGACATACTCAAAACAATTGAAATAAGTGGCTCTACAAGTTTAAAGTGTTTTCACATGTACTGCCACATTTTTACCCCATAGCAGCCGGTGAAAGAGAAACAAACCAATCTCCGATGTTACAAATGCTGGGCTCTGTCCCTGAGAGATGACGAGACTCACAGCCCGTGGGGGAAAGGAGCCAAAACTAAGCTCTTTATGACTATTTCAATCACCCTCTTCAAATTGTATTTTTACCCTATTATCTTCATTCATTTGACAAGTATTACTGAGCACCTTCTCAATAATGAGAAGGCCCAGGGTAAGCCATGCTGAATATACAAAGGTCAGTATATCACATAATCCCTGTGTTTCAGGGAGCTTACAGTCTTTGAAGGGACTGAGGCAACTACACAAATAACTCTAGAACAAGGCATAATATATGTGCTATTCCAAAGCTTGAAATAATGCATTACAACGATCCAAAGCAGGTACAACTCCTATGAAATTGGCTGAGCTTTACCATCTCACACTCATTCATTTTCTTTCTCTTCCTAAGTCAGACCTGCAGTGTTTCTCAAAATAAAAGGTAAGGACCACCTACACCAGAATCACCTGGAGTGCTTGTTAAAAACATATTCCTGTGCCTGGCTGCTGTGACTCAGTGGCTTAGCACCGACCTGTAAACCAGGAGGTTAAGGTTCGATTCCCGGTCAGGGCACATGCCCAGGTTGCAGGCTCGATCTCCAGTGTGGGGCATGCAGGAGGCAGCCAATCAATGATTCTCTCTCGTCACTGATGTTTCTCTCTCTCTCCCTCTCTCCCTTCCTCTCTGAAATCAATACA